ATAATTTCACAGTTACAGAAAAGGTTCAAGAATAGAACAAAAATTCCCAAATGTTAACATTTTTGTGTATTTACTTCCTATCCTGTATATGTGTGTGCATAAGTAAAATTTATTTGTATATCTACATGTATATATTTTTTCTGAGCCATTTAAGAATAAGTTGCAGATATGAAGTTCTTTTACCTCACATAATTGAATGTGAATTTATAATTTATGTCTGTGATCACTTTTTGGAGGAATTAAGAAAATGACATTTGATGAAATTTTTGAACATTTTAAATAAATGCTTATTAGGAAAGTGACTCACTTAATTGTTTGCATTTCTCTGGATCAGTTACTCAAAGCATGAAGCTTGAACCAACAGCAGTGGTATCTTCTGTAAGCTTGTTAGAAATGCATATTTGTGGCCCCCTCTCTGACCCAGGGCATTGGAATCTCTGGGACTAGGGCTAGGAAACCACTTTAACAAACTCTCAATGATTCTTATGCATATTAAAAAATCTCTTTCCTTAGTTTATTTATTTATTTATTTTTTAATACTAGTCTATCTCAGAAGCCAGATCCATGTAACTATTTTTTCCCTTAGTTTTTGATTGCTTTCTTGTAATGAGTATTCTTTTATTAATTGTTACAGTACCTGGGAGAGTATCTGTGTTAACCGTTTTTCTTCTTTGTGCAGGTTTGGATGACTCGTTCAAGTTTTGGCAGGCTCCACCTAGGATGTCCAGTCAAGATCGTGATCCAAGTTCTCTCTCCACCTCAGAAACAACGGTACAAGCGAAGAGTGCATAAGTGCTTTACTTTGAATTTCCAAAAAAATTTGAATTTGCTTAGTGGAGAGATAAGAATGGATACAAAGTATTAGCTTATGATAAAACAAGCTATGATTTATTCAAATACATCTTTCCATTGCTATCTGTGAAAAATTCAGTTAGGTATTTACTTAAATTATTGCATTTAGCCTGTACATCAGCCATACATTGTGGATACTATTTTGCTTTTTTTTGTATGAGCAAGTCACTCAGAAGTTAACTTTGTGATCAATAGTGTTGTAAGTAGCAGAGTTGGAATAGGGTTTGGTTTGCTGAAGTATAGCTACCCTGAATATTCTTTTAGTTGAGAGTTTTCGATGTCTTTCCTACCTCTTTTGATAATATAAAAGTGTTAAAATATTTATCATTAGTAGTAGAAGAGAACCAATTCTGTATGATTAAAAATGCTTGATTACCCTGAAATTATGCTTAAGAGCAAGGCAATATGAAGAAAGTTGACCCTTTGAAATGATTCCAGTTTGGGGATTCTGATAATTTTAAACACACTTCAAATACTTGTGTCAGATAGAAGCTTGTCTTGATTATCTGAAATAACTGAAATTCATGTATGCCTGCCTGCCTGCATGCCTGGCTGCCTTTCTCTTTCATTTGTGCATAAATTGCTTTGTTCCAAAAAAGTGCGAGACACTAAGTATCCCTAAATAATGATTGGTAATAGGTTTCAGTTTCTTACAAGCATTTTTACAAATCATTTATTCTCAACTGGAAAACACTACGTTTAATTTTAAAGTGTTTTTGGAATAATTGCTGTGTTACAGAACCTATTAGGAAGGTAGAAATTTGATACCCCTGCTTCCTGGAGTAAAAATAATATGAAAATAATAAATAATTATACAGACATTATACTTGAAAGATTATATTTAACCTGTCTCCTACAGTTTCCCAAAAGACCATTACCATTACTTTTTGCTATAGTTTTAAGAGTCATTTTTTTTTTCTAGATTCAAATGAGAAGTATTTATGTTTAGTGCTAGATTAGACCTTTATGTGGAAAAGTAGGATAATTACCCCAGTTCCACTAGATGTCATACTTTCCTTTCCAAGGTAGAGATAGTGTACATCTTTGTCTCAACAAAAGAAATAATATGATTACATACTAAAGTGAGTTGTATTAATTGGTTATTTAGTTCACAGAAGGACAGCATCAATATGTGCTTAAAAGTAAATCTTCTTTGGTTATCCTGTTTGTTAAAAGGGCTATAGTCTAGCCTAGAAATCTTTGTGCATTCTTCAGTTCTTTGCTTATAATAGGTACTCAGTAAATAGTTTTACTCTAATGAACTTTGAGTTATCTTAGCTATTTTGTAGATAACATTTAAGTTGTATTTATCCTATACCAGAAGACCTAAGTACAAAAAGCAAAAGCCAATCAAACTTTTGTATTTCTCTATTTTATATCAACATATAAATCTTATAGTTTAGAATACTAAATTTTCTGAGAAAATTTTGAAAATGTGTTATTTATTGTAATCATTAAAATAGAAGCACTTCCATTAAAATGAAGTTCTTGAACTTGTTTGTGTTTGGATACTACACAGACTTTTAGAAATATATACCAATGAAATCTTTTAAATTTTTATTTTTAAAGAATTTTGATATATAGTCCTATGTAAGACTTATTTCTTGTTGTTTTTCCTAAAGACTAGTGTTTTCTGTTAGAGTTTGGAATCCACTTATTTCTTTTTTGAGAGGTTCCAAACAGAAGTTTTAGAATCGGTGACTTTTATTAGACAAAAATAGTCTAGTGGTTGTTATATTTTCTTTCACATGCCTAAGATAATGTGTGTCTTTATCCCAACAGGAAAAAAATCTGAAGGATTTAGTAATTATGCTAGTTATGCTTTAAACTGTCAGTTGAAAGCTGTCAGTACTTAGACCAACTAATACTTTTTTGAATATAGGAAAATTTTGAAGTTACAAATTAAGGCATAAGTTGACTGGACGTAAATCTTGTTAATCAGCTTATCTGCTTATTTATATCTTTGTTTTGTTTATCTCATAGAATTGAGAAAAGGTGCATTTTTTTATTGGTTGGGGTTGGTTTTTGTTCATTTTGTTTTTCTAAGGAAAGCAGCATCTTTTGATTTGGGTCGTATCATACAATGTGCTGTTGCTGAGTCATTATCCATTTTGGTCTGTTAAATGCCAAGTTAGGGACTTTAATGCTGTTATCTAATGAAAATTAGTTCAGTTTTTTGGCAAGCTTTGTAAGGATTGGGACTTCTATGGTTTATAAAGTACAACTAGAATAAGCAGAGTGTCACTGTTAGCTTGGGGGCATTGCCCTTGTAAATGCTACCTCAGAAGGGGCCTCCATCCAACTCCACATTCTCTTCCTCCAGGGTAGGGTATAATTTTATTATAAACCTTCTTGTTTAAGGATGTCTTGTGTATATGTTGCTTATGTTTCATTTTTCATGTTGCGACAGTAATGAATAATTTTCTTTACTGATTCATAGGTGACACCTTCTTTGGGAAGTGCTGAATCTCAACCACTTGTGCCATCAACAGCACTTTTACCGGAAGCCTCACATGACCAGTTTGTGGCTCAAGGTATCCTTTTAGGAAGACATTCTACCTTAAAAAGAAAAATTGACAAGTTGATCCAGGCAGATATTTTGAAAGTAAATGTCTAAAGAACAAAATATTAATGAAATAAATTACAGAACATGTTGGAATAAATTTAGAATAAATATATGAGACATGAACTAAACAAATGCTCTTAACTAATAAGTAGAGTTTGACTATCACATAAATAGTCTGATTGCCATATGGTTCCTTAGTAGGTAAGCATAGGTATTTGCTATTTGAATTGAGGAACCAATAGATACTAAGTTAACTTAATTTTTTCCCTGCTTTTGGGAAAACACTTGACCACAGTAGGCCACTTGAATGTGAAGAGATTCTGGTCTTAAGTATTTTCTAAGGCTGTGCTTCCATTTAAAAGCACACTACGTGTATTGAGTCTTTATTTTATTACAAATGCACAATGAGCAACCTGGGATTTATTTTTATTAATGGTAATATATAAATTTTACTCCTTATATTAGGAAGTGCTTCCAACTCCGCTGTGCTTCAAATTTCATATATTTTGAAGATTATAACTTGGCTTTTGTTAATTCTAGAGAGTATATAGGTCTTATTCAGTAGTATTAAATTATCGACCTGAAAGGAAAATGCTACCTAAAAAGAATGTAGTTTTAAACACTGACATATAAATATGCAGAAAAAAATGTCTTCTAAAACTTTTAGAAATACTTGCTTGAATATTTATTATAATATTTGTTCCAGTAATTTCCTGAACAGTGTTCATTTTGGTTTTTAGTAATTGATGTTAACAATATGTGAAAGTTGTAGAAAATATAAAATGTAAATAATATAAAAATTGTATAAAATGCTCATTTGATCTTCTTGAGAACAGAAGGAGCAAACTCTGATTGTTTAAATGGCTAAGGACACAGGGCATGAAATTTAATCATGAATTTCATAAACATTTATCTCTAAAAGCATGTTGAACTACTCTTTTTTTTTTAACAGCTTTATTAAGCTATAATTCACATACCATATGATTCACTCATTTAAAGTGTATAATTCATTGGTTTTTAGTATATTCAGAGTTGTACAACCATCACCACAATCAATTTAAGGACATTTTTATCATCCCAAAAGAAACCCTGTGCCTATAAGCAGTCATTGTCTATCTTCCCCCATCCTCTGCAGCCTAGGCAATCACTAATTTACTTTCATTCTTTGTAGATTTGCCTATTTTAGACATTTTATATAAAAGGTGTGTTTTGTGACTGGCTTGTTTAACTGAGTATACCATTTTAGAGGTTCATCCATGTCGTAGCATGTATCAGAACTTCATTTTTTTAATTGACAAATATTAATAATATTCCACTCTATGGATAGATCACATTTACCCATTCATCATTGGATGGACATTTGGATTTTGTCCACTTTTTGGTAATTATAAATAATGCTGCTGTGAATATTCCTATACAGGTTTTTGTGTGGACATACAAGGTTTTTTTTGGATTACTCTCCATTAAAATTTATTTTATTTTTTTTTTTTTTTGAGACAGAGTCTCACTCTTTTGCCTGGGCTAGAGTGAGTGCCATGGCGTCAGCCTAGCTCACAGCAACCTCAAACTCCTGGGCTTAAGCGATCCTCCTGCCTCAGCCTCCCGAGTAGCTGGGACTACAGGCATGCGCCACCATGCCCGGCTAATTTTTTCTATATATTTTTAGTTGTCCAATTAATTTCTTTGTAATTTTAGTAGAGACGGGGTCTCGCTCTTGCTCAGGCTGGTTTCGAACTCCTGAGCTCAAACAATCCACCCACCTCGGCCTCCCAGAGAGCTAGGATTACAGGCGTGAGCCACTGCGCCCGGCCATTAAAATTTATTTTATTTTCAAGTATTTTGCTATAAATGTATATTCATTCACAGTTTTACTGGTTGCCACTCATTTCAATGGATATATTTGACCGAAGAAAAAACTTTTAATCTTTTTTTATTGAACCTGCAAAGGAATCTTTGAACAGTGTGTAAAGCATTAAATGTATAGTGTCAGTGAGCCCTAAGACTAGAGCAATTTTTTGTTGTTGTTGAATGTTCTCTTGAATTTCATCTCTTTAAAATAGTATTAAGATAAAATATGATTTTTTTAGTGATAATGAAATTTTAGCTTCCTCAGCTGGAACGTCTAGTGGCATTTCCCAGCAAAGTTGGTTAGTCCTTTAATTTCTTATTCTATTAATTCTTGATTAACCAGGGAATTAATTATTCCCTAAATTGATTTAGGACAGGATGACAAGAATGTTCTTAAGTGCATACATTAGGGCCACGTTAGATTCCAACATTTTGTTTTAAAATTTGACTTCTGGCTTTTGTAAAAGAGGGATTTTTATGTTATAAGAAATATAACCTTTTATGTTGTTAGAAATAAAACCTTTAATACTAGCTCTTATAGCATATACGCCTGCATTTGCTATACAAAGTTGAAAGGACTCATTAAAAAATAAAATTTTTAGTATATTTGAGTACTATATATATTTTAATATAAATAACTAGGATAATTTTCTCCAGATAAACTATAAAAATTTTATTGAATATATTGAATGAGTTCGAATTTCTTAAATATGTGTCCTCCACTCCTCCTTTTGTGGGTCTTTTTTCTTCTGTGTGCTTGCTTTCATAATGCTGAAGACATATAATACATATTTTGTGAATACTGAAAAATTCCCCTTGAAATCATTTGAACAATTTTCATTGAAATTACCTAAATTTAATTTTTCCATTTTTATTTGGTTCAAAATATCAAACCTTTTTTGAATTTTACTTTAGAGAAAGCCAGTTCAGAATATAAATTGATATATATTTTCAGTTTAGTTGCCAGTTTATTTTATAAAATGAAGTAGGACATTTGTTGCTTTGATCTCTCATTTCCAAGTTTTGAAAAAAGGAACATAATGGTGAGTGTCATACCTCATAAGAAAATTGTGTACGTTGATAACTAGGTAGTGTACACTGTACAGGGTCTTTATATTCATTATCTCTTTTAATTTCACAGTCACTCTGGTTGCTGGTTTCATTTTATTTGTTCTACAAATGAGAAGATATATAGGGTCATAAAAATTACTAGAAATTGACCTCAGCAATTTAAAAGGGTGGGGGGTGAGAATAAAAGGTATTTAAAATGAAAAATTGTTACAAGGAATAGAACAGACCTAAAACTACTATTTCAAGTATACTAGATGTAGCAGATGAGACTGAAATGAAATTGAAGTATAGAAATCATGAAAAACAGTAAGAGAAACAATTCTTGATGAAAATTTATAAGAAAGTAGGAACTGTTAGATGTTTCCTTAAGATAAAATATATATATATATATATATATATATATATATATATATATATATATATACACCTTTGCCCTAAAGCTAGCATCTTTCTCAATAGGGAAGCATTAGAAATATTTTCACCATATCTACTACTATTCAACATTGTATTGTAGGTATTAGGAAAGAGATTTCAGTTAGAGGCATAAAAATTAGAAAAGAAGTAAAACTATCTCTGTTTGCATATGATATATAGTATACCTGGAATTCTTTAAAGATTTAATGATAAAGCTAATTTAAAGAGTAAAAGAATTTAGTAAGGTAGCATGACATAGAATTAACATAGAGCAGTCAATAAATTTTATATATATGCATAGGCCACTAGAAAGTATAATGTGGAAGAAAACCATCATTTACAATAGCAGCAAAGAAGATAAAACATTAAGAGTAAACTTAATGAGAAATATACAAAACTTATAAGAGGAAAACTTTAAAATGCTCCTGAAAAGCACAAAAATAGACATGAACAAATGGAAAGACATCCTTTATTTTTAGGTAGGATGACTCAACATCAAAAAGATATCAGTTCTCCCTAAGTTAATCTATAAATTAAATACAATCCCAATAAAAATATCAACAAACTTTTTTCTTTTTTTAAAGAGCCTTTAAAAAAAAAGGCTGAAGTACACTGGTGTGATCACAGTTCACTGTAACCTCTTGGGCTCAAGTGATCCTTCTGGCTCAGCCTCCTGGACTACAGGTGCTCTCCACTGTGCTCTGCTAATTTTTAAAATTTTTTGTAGAGATGGGGTCTTGCCATGTTGTCCAGGCTGGTCTTGAATTCCTGGCTTCAAGTGATCCCCCTGCTTTAACCACCCAAAGTGCTGGGGTTACAGGTGTGAGCCACCCCACTGGGATCAACAAACTTTTTTCTGATGAACAAGATTTCATTCATAGGGAAAAATGAATATATAAAAATAGCCAGGAAAATACTCAAAAAGGAGATTAGTCCCACCAGGCATTAAACCATGCTAAAAAGCATAATTAAATCAGTTTGTTACTGGCACATGAGAAAACAAATAGAATGGAAAATATATCCTAAATACTAAAAGTGGCATCTGAGATCATTGGGTGAGGCATGAATCTTTTAAAAAATGGTGCTGGTCACTGTCTAGCCATTTGAAATATGATAAAACAGATCTATATCTCACATGGTACGTGAGAATCATCAGGGTCCTAAAAGTGAAAATTGAAATTATACAAGTAACAGAAGAAAACATGTATGGATTCCTTTATAAAATAGGCATAGGAAAAGATTTTTTAACTATGCCACAAAATCCAGATTCAATAAGAAATGATTGATAAATTTGACTACATAAAATTAAAATAAAAAATAACTTTTGCACGGCAGAAAATATCATAAAGTCAAAAGACAACTGACAAACTGGCGTAAATATTTACAATATAACTCACAAAGTCATATAAATATACAACATATGAAACACTTTTAATATTTGAGGGAGAAAAAAATGCAAAACCTCATGTAAAAGCAAAAGACATGAACAGATAATTCACAAAAAAGCCATAAAAGTAGCCCTTATCTTTGAATAAGTACAAACTAATACTACCCTGAGATACTTTTTCTAGATACTTTTCCTTATCTATTATATTACCAACAATTAAGAAGTATTGGCAATATAATCTGTTGGCAAGGCTGTGAAAAACAAGCACTTTTATACATTGTTAGAGGGAATGCAAATTATTAATATAACTCTTTTGGAAGGGAATTTGGCAATATCTAACAAAACTATAAACGTATTTACGTTTGATTCAACAATTACACTTCTAGGAATTTTCCTCTGATTCATCACCAACAATATAAAATACATATGCATATGATTATTTAGTGGAGCATTGTTTATAAAATACTGGAAACAACCCAATTTCTAAGTAGGAGAGTGGTTTTTAAATAAACATCTATACAATGGAGAACTATGCAGCTATTAAAAAGAAGCAGGATATCTTCAAACTGATATGGAATAATTTTTAGGAAATATTGTCAGGTGAAGGAAGCACAGTGCGAAAGAGTATTTGTAGTTTACAGTGTTTAAAGTTTTCTATTAACACCTTGTTGTGTATGAAAGAAACTGAAATAAAAAATATACGGGGGGCTGGGCTCAGTGGCTTACACCTGTGGTCCTAGCACTTTAGGAGGCCAAGGTGGGAGGATTGCTTCAGGCAGCCAGGGTTTGAGACCAGCCTGAGCAAGAGTGAGACCTGGTCTATAGAAAAAAAATAGAAATGTCAGTTGGGCTTGGTGGTGCACGCCTGCAGTCCCAGCTGCTGAGGAGACTGAGGCAGGAGAATCACTTGAGACCAGGAGCTTGAAGTTGCAATGAACTATGATGACGCCACTGCACTATAGCCTGGGTGACAGAATGAGACCCTGTCTCAAAAAAATCCATAACCCCCCTCCACCCCCAAACATGTATCTCCTCATTTGTGCAGAAAGAAAAATAGAGGAAGGATTAACTGGAAACTGAGATTAGTTATGAGGATGAGTGGGAGGTAGGAAATAGGACAGAATGGGAACAGGGTAGAAGAGATTGAAGGATGGGAATAGTAGCTCTTCTCTGCATATACCTTCTTGTATAGTTTGACTTTTATAATCACATATGTTTCACTTGTCAAAAAGAAAAATAAACAAAAATGGGGGAAAATAACAAGGAATACAAACAAATTAATCTAGCTGCATTTCACATGAATGACATTGAAGTGAGTGAGGCGCTAACCCAGGTAACTCTCGAACATATTTTTAGGATTTTAGTCCTCAGACTAATGGCAAAGAGAACTGTAAACAAGCATCGAACTTAAGTTATTAGTTTTATTTTGGACAATAGTAGTATTAGTTAGCAATTCTGAAACTATGTGTTTCTAAGACTGGGCAAAGAAGTAAATATACTGTCGATGATAAAAACCAGGTTTTTTACTTTCATATAATGGAATCACAAATATGAAAAGAGAAAAGATATTTAATGGACTGTGTAAGGTTAGATTTGAATCGTAACTTTTAATATGAATAATGATTTTTAATTCATAAATACAGGTGTGTGTTTATATGCCCAAGTATGCATATATGCATGCATACACACACACACACACATTTTGTAGCTTACAAGCAATGACACACTAATAGCAGTATATACATGGCATAGCCATAAGGTAAAAAAATAATAATTTTTATGCTTATTTTCAATAATAGGTCAGCATGAAACTACATCACCACAGCCTCCTCATGATTCATCCCTTTCTGCTCCCCTGCCCAAGCAGTGTGCTGTGGTTACTCCACCTCTTCTTTCAGCAATGTGCAGCCTCTTAGACAACCTCTTGGTGACTTCTCCAAGAGATACCGCAAATGCTTTTCGACAAGCCCATCTTGTAGAGCTTCTCTGTAGGTAAGAGATAAATACTTCCAGGGAGGCATGGCAGTAGAGATGAGTTTACAAAAGCTGTCTGTACTCATGACTTGATGTAAGACTTCATGTTTACTGGGAATATGTCCTTATTCTTTTTTAGGCTCGTTAGACTCCAGGTTTTTGCTTTTGCCAGAATTGTCTTGATAGTTTTTATTTTAGGTCTATTAAAGTGCTTGTATTGGTTTATTGTCTTGACTAGGAAGGCTAAAAAAAATCCTGAATTTTAAAATTCAGGAGTTCTAAACCATATTTGTCCTCCAGCACACTTAGGGAGTATGGTGCAGTCCCTTATTCTTAATGGATGTGGAGGAGTTTGGAGATTCATCTTTCTCGTGATTATATTAGAAGAATATCACTGGGTTAAAAAAATGGTTGTTTAAATCCATTTGGAGTTATTTTGTTATGTTAAACTTTTCATCAGAAAGTATTCTGACAAAATTTGGGGAAATCATGATTTCATTCTTTGAATTTTTATTACTCATTTATCTAGTATTAACAAGCCTCTGATATAATTTTTCTGATTTTCTAATAAAGTGAAGTAGAAAAGACTAGGTGCTGAATTAAGGCTGACCTGAGGTTGAATTCACTTAGTAGTTTGCAACTTTGGGAAAATTACTTTAATCTATGGTGTGTCATTAATGGCTATTTAATGGGGCTAGTGCGAGGATTAAAAGTGATAGTATCTTGGGTACTCCCTTTAGTAAGTGTTACTTCTCTTTTCTTCCCAAAGTCCAGTTTATTCTAGTCAAGCATATACACCTTCTTTTAACCACATATTCTTTTGCATTGCTGTGCTTCTCTGTCTCTTTACCTTTGAACACTCACTGTCTGAAATGTCTTCCTTGTCTTGCCAAATCTTAGTGCCTTCTCTTTTTTGGGGGGATATTAAGAAAACTCTAAAAAATATAAACTAGAAAAGAAGTATTCCTTCTTTCACTTCACTCGGTTGTGATTACTCCTTTAACATTTGTAATATGCAAGGAAATATAAATTTGTTCTGGCTTTAATATTATTTCTCATTTTTCTACTGTAATGCCTACTAGGATTGGAAAGGTAACTGTTAGTTGCTTGGCTTTCCTTCCTGGATGCTCCTGCCTTAAGATGACCAAAATGGAGCTCTAGGGAGGTTCTTGCTTCTTAGGGATCAGCTAAGAGTCTGATGTGTCATTGAGGCCACAAAGGCATTAAAGGACCTTTTATGGCAAAGGCTCATCATATTTCCATGCCTGGTTTTCATATCTGACTTAAAAAAATTCCTGTTTGTTTTACTTTGTTTTTTACCTTTTAAATATGAACATATTTCCTAGTCTGTATTTTTGCTATTTTGATTAGGAAACTAACCACCAAGGTTACTTTTACTCTTGTTCTCTTTCCTTCCAAATGGGCTGTTACATTTTATTCTGCTTTTAATAAGGTTTCCTTAGATATTTTTTTAGATATTTTTTTTTAGAACTCTTTGCTTCTTACCTTTATCTGAGAAGATATTTTCCTGTTTGAAGGTAATCTGGAATATAATTTAAAATATTATGGGATATCTTTTTATAAACATTTTCTTTACTTACAAAAATCCTTTCTCTTGAATTGTATTCCAGTTTACCTTCAGACTTCACGTTCTGATTTATTAATCCTTAGTAAGGATGCCAGTCATCTAAAGGGTTTTTTTTTCTTCTGCCCTCCACAGCATTGCAGATACTACCCTCATACAGGTATGTGTCCAGGAACTCAAGACCCCACTGCCCTCATCACCTCCAGTTGAACACACTCAGGCTCAGGTAAGTGTCTCACATATGTCTCTTGCCCAGTGTCTGTTTGTGAATTTGCTTGCTTTAAGTGCCAAAAATGTAAATTCTACTGAGGAGATACTAACCATAGGAAAAAGATGAAAATTATACATGATATGATGAAGTTATTTGAAATAGATTACCTAAAATTTTAATATGAGACATCTTTGGGTGGTAGAAAAGAGAAGTGGGGTTTGAAGACATAGATTCCATTCCTGATTCCATCATTAACCAGCTATAAATGTTTAATTAAATGTGAAGATAGCTTTGTGCACTGCTTTAAAAAGGGGGACATTGGTATAGACCACCTTCTCATTCTGCGATTCTAGGTTATCTCTGTTATGTCTGTTATTTTCACCTAAGTTAAAGTTGTTAAAATACTTGGTAACTTAGTTATGTATATTTTCAAAACCCAGTCTGACAAGAATAAATCTATTTTTGTTCCTTTATAGATATTTACTATTTTTAAGTTCTTGCCTATAGCTAGAGTCTGTATGTAAAGTATGCTTAACAATTCCTCATATAGTTGTAGCTAATAGAAGCTTTATTTCAAAATCAAATTTTATGAAGGGCTATAGGATTTTGGGGGGGTTGATGAGTTAAAGGTGAACTAGACAATATCACTTGCTTTGAGGTATATTCTGTGAGCTGTCTGACTAGGGCAGACCACTATTACAAGGTTTGGGAACACGATGCTTGGGGTCTTTGAAGCACTTGTCCCGGTGCAATGTTTTTATTTGAGCATGCTTGTTGTGTGATGACTGTCTCCTCCGTTTTTCTACTGTCCATTCAACAAATCTTTATTGAGTACCTACTTTATACCAGGATCTTCTCTAAGTAAATAAAACAAAGATCCTTTCCCTCAAGTAGGGAAAACAGATAATGAGCAAATCCATATATGCTTGAGAATGATAGACATCTCAGAAGAAAAACTAAAGCTGGGGACAGGATGTGATGTCAGAGTTGGGAGGGGAGGGCTGTTCCACTTAGGGTGGTCAGGGAGGACCTTTCAGATAGTGACATGTGACCTGAAGTAAGTGAGGAAGCTAGTCCTATGGACGTAGCAAGGCCCCTGAGATCGGGGTATGCTTGGCCTATCCAGGAAACAGTAAGGAGGCCGGAGTGGCTGGAGCAGAATCTGTGAGGCGGAGATGAGGACAGAGGGGCACACAGCTCCTTGAAGGCAGGACCTTGCCTGCTGTTATGTGCTGTTGAATCCTGGGTGTCTAGCGCAGCGCCTGTCCCATGGCAGGCACTTAGGCAGTACTTGTGAGATGAGTGAATAATAGCAGTAACAAACATTGATGGGTACTTGTTTGTGTTGGTTTATGTAATCTTCATAATAATCATATGAAGTATCATTAGTATTGGTTGTCATTTTATAAAGGAAATGACTGAGGCCCAGAGAAGTGAGTAACTGTTCAAGTTCTCTCACACAGTAAGGGGCAGAGCCAGATTCCACCCCATGCAGGCTGGTTCCAGAGACTGTACTCTTAACCACTACACTACCTGGCCTTATGTAGATTAAAGCCTTTTGGCGGTTGGTGCTTATATAAGATCATTCACTCATTCCAGAAAATACTTGAGCTTCTGCTCTCCCAGATTCTGTTCTAGGTGCTAGTGATAACATCCTTGAACAAAGCAGAGGAACATCCCTGCCTACATAGAGTCTATGTCCTGGGTTCAGAAGACAGACAGTAAACAAGTAAATAAAATGTAAAGTATTTTATCAGACAGTGACAAATGGTATGAAAAAAATAAATGAGGATGGATAAAAGAGTGTGTCAGCAGAGGGAGAGGTTCCTGTTTTTAGGTAGAGTGGTCAGAAAAGGCCTCCTGAAGGTGACATTTAATCAGAGACTTGAGGAGGTGAGTATCTGGGACAGAGTTCTGGGCAATGAATGAGGTTACAGTCTGCTAAAGGTACTAGTTATGAAAGTTTATGGTTGGTTGGTATCATTTTTGAAGAGTGTCATGCACAGGAAAAGTGTTCCTTTATGGACTGCTATGCTAATATTTAATCTTGAATATGAAGATATACAAAAGAATCTTTACCAATTCAGCTTTTCTCTCCCTAACACTTCTTATTGGCTCTTTCCTGGCCTGGTTTATCTATTTGTGGTAATACTTCGTACATTCAGAGGTCAGACTTGTCATAATTTCAGTAATAGAATATGAAGGGAATATGAAATCTCCAAAAAGACTTCAGAGCAATAAGCAAATTAAATTTCACAGACAATTTGAGGAGTTTGTGAAGTGTAGAGAAACCTATACTTTTATGTAAAAGTAAGTCAGCAGATTAGATAAAGGGAGGACATACTTATTAGGAGAAGCAGAAAAGAAGAACTATTTTGGAACAGTCTGAGACTATTTACCTCAGAGGCACATAACCGTCCACAAATGTAAAACAGTCCCTGACTCCTAATTACATTCTTACAACCTCAAAATAAGGTGAGAGGAAGTGTGTGTGTGTGTGCGTGTGCACACTCACAGGGAGAGACTGACTTCAGAATATCTTTAGAAAGTTCACTTATGTGGACTATCTCTTTGCCTGAAGATGGTGGATGAGTAAGACATCACAGCTTATGCTTTAATTGTTAAATATCTAAAGGATTATTATTTCTCTAAAAAGTACTTTTGCCAGTTAATAATTATAATATTATCATCAGGAAAATTCCAGAGATGGTTTTGTTGGTAATATTGGAGACGATTTAATTTTTTCTCATATAATTAGGAATAGTGTTTTTATGCTGAAGGATAGCTGAGGGTAAAAATAGAACATAACTTGCATTTTATTTATAGCAATGACTAGGCTATTAGACTAGCTTTTTTTCCTCCCCACTTGCACACTTTGAAGAGTAGTTTTGTAATCTTTGTTTCTTTATAAAATTATAGACTTTACAGCTTTGTAGTGCACTTTTCTGCTTCTACAAGAATATTGATTCCGCAATTTTAGATACTTGAAAAATGTGAAGACTTTCTTTCTTTAAGTGGAATTCAAAATGTGGCTTTGAAATACTGCTCTGTTTGGTGGTATTATAGTTGACAGTGTTAGTAAGACTATTAATGACATGTTTATCACATGAGAAAAATAAAGCTTTGGCTGCTATGTGTTACTTTCAGATCTTTAAAAATTATGATTAATATATTGTTAGTTTTTTATTAACTTATGGAAGTAAAATACTGTATCACTGAGATGGGCTTTTCATGTGATACGTTTTGTTGTACCTTATCTCCTTTTCACATAGGTTTCCTTCCTCCTGGAGTACCTGTCCTCTTTGTCCAGGCTTCTGCAGTCGTGCTTATTGGTAGCTCCTGACCTTGTGATTCAGGATGATCTTCTGAAGTCTCTAATCACTAACATCATTGGCATTCTCACCATATGCACCAAAGATTTACTAGGTAAGCTTTATTTTTTAGGTTTAAAATGTAAGTGAATACTATTGAGGAAAAAAAATCTTACTCTGTTCCAGATAGTCACTTCAGGATTACTTTTTGAGTTGTTTTTGCCAATATTTTGGAAGCCTTTGATAAAGTGCTTTACAGTTTAGATGCTTTTTTTTTTCAATGGTGTGGATACTTTTGAGTGGCTCCAGGAGACCACTTGAGACAAGTGTGTAGTGTAACGAAGGACCATCCCTGTGCTGTCAGTTAAATGAGGACAAAGCTCCTATGTCATGTTAGAAAGTGAGTTCTGGGTATTAATTATCCTTATAAACTATGGCTAACACCAAATGACCTAATAAGTTATTTGCAATAAGTTGTTTTTGCCAATATTTTGGAAGCCTTTGATAAAGTGCTTTACAGTTTAGATGCTTTTTTTTTTCAATGGTGTGGATACTTTTGAGTGGTTCCAGGAGACCACTTGAGACAAGTGTGTAGTGTAACGAAGGACCATCCCTGTGCTGTCAGTTAAATGAGGACAAAGTTCCTACGTCATGTTAGAAAGTGAGTTCTGGGTATTAATTATCCTTATAAACTATGGCTAACACCAAATGACCTAATAAGTTATTTGCAATAACACGTATAA